CAGAAAAATGACGATTATCTGAAAAATCATTCATTTTAGGGAAAATCTTGCCGCACTCTTGGATTTTAGCCATCTTGGATTTTCGAAATCCTTTTTTTAGATGTTGTATTTAAGTTTTGTGACATCGAAAACCCCTTAAGCGGCATTACAGGGCATATCAAACTGTAAAATGACGATTACCCGAGGCATCGATCATTTTAGGCAAATTTTGACTGCCATTTTGAATTTTCGCCATCTTGGATTTTGGGAAACTAATTTTATAGATCAATTGTAAGTACAATGACTACGGAAACCCTATATATGATATATCACAAGTTTTACCTTGCGTGATACTCATCCATCCTGTGATGGAATTCGGAATCCCCATTGCAGGCCCACACCCAGCACAGAAAGTCTATTATACCAGCCCATTCCAGACTCCAGTGATGGCGTGGCGGCCCGTTAAAGACACCGGCCATATCATCGTAGTTCCATGGCCGGTCCAATACAACCCCCCCCCCCCCACACACACCATATAATGTTCAGCAGAAAAAAGTTTTTTAGACGAATTGGACAAAATTATTTTTTTCATTTTTTTGTCCGATCGGGCGATCGCCCAATCCGCCCCTGCTATCAGTTGGCCATTAATCACAATATGTCCCGCATAAGACTAGTTGGGCATTGTAGGTGGGTCATGGGGTCAGGCATTTAGTAATTGAAGCATAATCAAATAACACACTATTTATGGATAACAAATTCTATAGTTTAATTCACTGCGACGTTTCAACAAGATTTCACAAGTCCTTACCAAGCATATAACATTAATAAACAAGCCAACAGTGAGGCTGATGACCCCGTCGAAATCCCTAAATAAATAGATGACCCATATTAATTAATCGCACATTTATTTTCAAAAGTATCGAGCAATCAAACTGATTATCAACTATACACTAAGTTTCATCACTCTCTATCAGATAGAATCAAAGTTATCTTGTCCCAAAGCATCGATCATTGAAATTGCTTAGCTCTGCTTAGCTTTAGCCCGAAATGTTAATTACTGAACTGAGTCAAGACATTCAGCTAATGAACATTTACATCAAGTTTCAGCATTCTACCTTATTGCGTTCCAAAGTCCTGACCAATCAAATTGCTTATCGCTCTTTAGCCTAAGGAGAAAATTCTCACGATCGAACTTAGTCAAGCTAATATCGCCCTCACTTCATTATAACCAAAGTTATCATGCCCCAAGGCATCAACCAATCAGATAGCTTATCTCTGCTTACCCTAAACAGACAATGTTCATCATCGAACTCCATCTAGGCATTCATTTAATGAACGCCTACACCCAGTTTGAACATTCTACCTCAATTAGAATGAGAGTTATTGTGTTCTAAAGTCTCGGCCAATCAAATTGCTTATCGTTCTGCTTACCCTGAGCAGAAAACTCTCATTATCGAACTTAGTCAAGGTATTGATGTAATGAAACTATACACCAAGTTTTATCACTCTTACTTAATTAGAACTAAAGTACTATCGTGTCCCAAAGCATCAACCAATTAAATTGCTTATCTCTGCTTACCCTAAGCAAAAAATTCTCATCTTCGAACTCCATCAAGGCATTGACCTAATAAACACCTACACCAAGTTTGAACATTCTTGCTCAATTAGAAAGAGACTTATTGTGTCCCAAAAAGTGTGACGGACGGACAGACGAACCCATTTTAATAGTCATCTGCTTTCTTCGAAAGGCGGGGGACAATAAAATGAAAGGAATATGGCTATATATATATACAAGAGCGGTGCTGACCCTCCAAAGGGATGCAAAGTCAGCTAGTATGGGCATTGTAGTGTCCCAAGCCGTTAGATAATCAAATGCACATATACAGGTATAAACTGTAATTGGTATAGATAAGCACAAGAACAAAAGATCAAACAATTATTCAAGCGGTATAATGAACCACGAGCAATAGGCCATAACAGTAAAACCATGATAACGACATGTAAAATCTTGTTGAAACGTCACAGTGAAATAAACTATAGTAATTGTTATCCACAAATAGTGTGTTATTTGCTTAAAAAGACATATTACAAGCTACATTAAACAGAAAATCGATCATTTTACGGAAATTCTGGCCGCCATTATGAATATTCACCATCTTGGATTTTTTTAAACACTCTGTGTTTTGGTTAATTTTAAGGTCAGTAATCCCTTTCAATTGGATATTACATGTAATATCAAACTGTGAAATAACTATTATCTGACAAATTGGCCATTTGAGCAACTTTTGGCCGCCATTTTGAATTTATGCCATCTTGGATTTTGGACACTCATATTAGAGATTATTTTTTTATGATCAATGTTTCTGATATCTAGTAAATCACTTTAGTTGACCAAACAGATAATTTGGCTTATATGGGTCTTAACAAGATTTCTTTAGTAAACTTATGAACAGACATCATGAAAAAAAACCCCGAAAATATTGCTGTTTTCAGATCAGTCTTTTATTTTGAAACCGAAAGCATTTCTTAAACAACATGAGTCATATACCAGCAGATTTAGAATTGTATTATGAACATTTTGAGCCATTTTACATATCCATAGGTGAACCTGTTGAGGAGTTGTGGAGGTTTCCCTGACTTGCACTATTTAAAATAAAAAAATAGCGGCCATTTTTAAAGATGGCCACCAAACTCACATTTGGCAAAGTGACCCGGATGTCCATCAACCAATTTTGGACACTTTAGACCTAAGGCTAACTGAAAATCATCGTTAAATTTATTCATCAAATTGGTAATGAAAATCTGTCTGTCACATGTTTTTGTTTTTTTTCAAGCCCGTTAACGTTGATTTTCAATTCAAACTGGTGACCATCAGATGGCCGAAATCAAAATTCTGGTCACCACATTCTATAGGCATTCGTTCAAGGATTCTGACAATAAAACTCACATGTCTGTATTTAAAAGAATGTAAAAGCCTTAGGGATTTTCACGTTTCAAGATGGTGACACTTCTGGGTCGATCGACAAACTTCTTTTTTTAGTACGCGCATCAGTAGTGTCTTACCTGGTGAAGAAAAACATTCAATCTGACATACCATTTTCGATTTTTTGAAACTTTCGATTATTAATTTCTTGAAGGGGAGATATGTTAGAAAATCACTAATGACATCACCAAGTCGAATAAATCAGATCTACTTACATTCCAATTTTTACAAAAGAAGTTGGTTTTTACTTCCTGGATGAGATTTCAGTTCGAAAATAGCAGATTTAAAGTAAATGTTTCAAGGTACTCGAATAAAAGAGTCACAAAATTGCAGCTATGTAGGTACAACTTAACATTTCACAACGAATCTTCTATACAAATATAGAATTGAAATTCAAAATTCCAATTTGAGAGAATTAAGTAAATTTTCACGAAGAAAATGGGAACGAAAAGGTTTCTAAATTTGACAATTTAAACTGCTATCCGACCAACAATATTCCTGGCTATTCAAAAATCGGTTAGTAATTAACAGAATTTTAGTGCCCGTTAAAGATTTACATCACTTCCAGTCGGCTCACAACTTCCGACTTAGATTGTTGGTACTAACTATTAAGAAAAAAATCAATATTCATATAGTTTTAAACAGATCCAGTGGTATTAAATTATGACGTCATCTAGACAAAAGACCTGTCATATTTATTCCAGTGAAAACTATTACTTACTAAAATAACTTATTTCCAGTAGAAGAACTAAACCCGTATTTTGGATAATATTTAAACAAGAAAAGTTCAAATATTGTCACTTTAAAGTAGCTAAGTCTCTAACTTAAAATCGTCTAAAGTCTTTGACATTGAACACACGGATTATTTGTCAATTTAAATCAACATTGATGTTGTTATCATACCTGGAAAAGATGGACATCTGATATCCAATATTTGAGACGAATCGTGTACCATAATGCGTTTCAGCGCCATTTGTAACAAGGGACTTGAAAAACGAGGCTAGACATATTCCATCAGTCATGTCAAACGGTTACGTCATATTCTTATCTGGAGAGGATGCGCAATAAATACTACCGTTGTAGACTGGGATAACCAGACACTGGAGATTGCCATTCGATTGAGACTTTTGGCGTATTTCGCCGAACATAACTGATTAGAATTTATAGTAAAAACAAAAACGATTGAATGTAAATCAGTTTATATACATTCATATTACATTATTATGTGCGTTGCGACCCATTTGTGTCAATGTCTAGGTACCAAATATTAGCGATTTGGCTCCATTAAATTGATACCAAAAATTACAACCTGTTTCCAAATATTTAGCTCCTTTAACAAAAGCTCTATATGCTCTGAACATGTTGAGCTCAGCGAGTAGTCTTTCACTTAGTCTGGGACTATGCGTTTAGCGCTGTAGAATCCCTTAAAATATTGTAAAAGTTAGCCCAAAAATGGTTCCATTCCGTTCATCAGTGTTTACAAAGATACGATGATTCGAAATTTCATTGATCAATGTTGCCCCCTTTGTATCATGACGACCGCCATCTTTATTTGATGTGAACCAAATTGGTGGGTCTGTATTTTTGGCGTAGACTACGCCATAGCGCTTCGTCACTGTAATTTAGCACCTATTCATCCTATTTGTTTATTATATATTGTGGGGTGGGGTGGGGCGTTGGATCAGAAGGTCTGTCATTGAGTCAAGTGGCTTGGTTCCGATTCTCCGCATGTATGTGACAAGGGGTAGGGTGGCCTTACCAGCCTCGTGGGTCTTCTCGGGGTCCCGAAATGACCTAGTCTCTCCCCCTCTCTGTCTCTCTTGTGATTACAGTGGAAAACAGCTTCATGTCTAGTTGAAATGAGATTCTTTAATTGTTACGACCGGATTCATTGTAGATGATAATGGTAATACTATGAAATATTGATTCATCCTAAGTTCATCTCTAGAAGACGCTAATCGATATTTTAACTGATATTTCTCTTTGAATCATAATGTTGACATTTTTACTGAATCGTGAAGAGCTTTACACAAGAGATCAACTAATCGTGTGTTGTCGAGGTTGATGTCACTTCTGTTTGGAAACATTTACACGGCTGTATATAACAGATTTTGGTGCGGTGAAGCTTAATTATTTGTCTTGAAATTCCTCACGATATTTGGGTATGTATTGTGTATAATAAATGGTGAACTATTTAATCCTCTGTTTCACTGGGTAAAATCCACCCATGTATTTATAATGTATGAACAAGTGGAACTGTAATATGGACCAGGAAGTGAGTATAACGTCATCATCGCTATGTTTGAATCGCATAAACGGTGCGCAATGGGCCAAGGAACAATCATGCAAAGTTTCATCTAGATCATGAATAATTTGTCGGAGCTTTTGGCCCTTTTTTCTCAATGTTTTGTCTGGCTCGGTAAAATCGTCGCTTCATGGACCAGCCAATTCTTCTTTTAAGGAGACGAACAAAAAGGTAATTGACATCTGATTTAACCATGTTTATGCTGACGTGCCATTTAACTCTATTTTATTTCATTGTGTATATCTTTCTAGATAAAGATGATGATTCTACTAACGTTATTGATAACACTTATATTGACCGACATTAATCTAGTCATAGGACAGGCTCAGGGAATGACTGGTACTGACTCTTCAACAAGGGCAGTTGTAAGTTGCAGTGGACAACGTGTTTTCAAGAAGGTTGACATCACTCCTGAATCATCCTTGGAACAACTTTACTCTGTTAATACCAGTGATGTGTATAGATGCTGTGAATATTGTTTAGTTGAAACAAGTTGCTTGTCGATTGAGTTTGAATTGGTTACTAAAACATGCCATCTTTACGCTGAAAGAGTCGTCCACATAGGCTCTGAGGCCCCGTCAACTGATACGACAGTGGTTTATTACTGGAAAACTGAAGGTAAGAAAAAATGTCCTCTTTTTATCTACTGCATGACTGACACATTCGTGTGTGCGTAAAAAGGGGGTAGAGCGAAACAATGTTGTATCGGCAATTTGTCCTCCTTCACAATGCACACGCAGCCCCTGAACAAATTTGTAATTAGGTTTGCCACAAATGACAAATATATTCATCTTTCATCTATAGTAAGTCCCCTCCTTCAGTTGTTGAGTGAGCAGGTGCTCTGCTTCCTCGGGCACCCGATACCCACTTACCCATTAGCCTGCTCGGGGAAGTTACACTTTGTGTTCTAGAAAGAGTAAGTGGTCGAGTATTTCTCTTAATTACAGTTCCTGATTGTTGAGGTCTATCGAGGAATTGTATTTTCACGGACACCTGAAAGCATTTTTCACTTGTTCACGAGTCTGTCCTGAGAATTAGCATTGGGTGTAAGTTGTCTAGTAGTGCTTCTCATCGTGAATCTTCATTACAGATAAATGTGACACCAGTCTAGGATATGAAAGTATAAGTGACGTCAGTTCCTGTATTAAGTTGCACACTAACCTATCAACATGGGACGAAGCACGAGTCACGTGTCAACAGGAAAATGGCTTGCTGTTCATGGTGGATACGATTGAGAAATATAATGGTCTACAGTTGTTTCTAGAATCCAAAGGTAAATTACTGATATTGGAGTTGTTATCATTGCCAGTCTTTCCAAGAATGCATCGGGGCGATTAAATTGGCCTGTATATTTTCAGTACACCAATACCTTGACTAAGTCAAAGGTGATGAACATTTTTTGCTTAGGCTAGATAGAGAATTCAATTTGATTGATAGGGACTTTGGAAGAAAATAACTATTTTTCTAATTGAGGTAGAATTTAGTTTAAAGATGGCCATTTTCTACTAACGCTAAGCAATTTCATTGGTTGAGACTTTAGAACACGTCAATTTTGATTCGAATTTTGGTGAAAGTGATAAAACCCGGAGTATGTATATAGTTTCATTATAAATACCTTGACTAAGTTAGATGATTAACGTTACCGCTTGGGGTTTATTAATTGCAATACGTGAGTAATGGCGATACGTGACTTATGGCGGGTTGGAGTGGGTGGGGCCATTTTGAAGAAATTATCGGGATGTTTAATGAATCGTTCCCAAGGGACAAGAGTGGGCTTCCGGGCTGACAAATAAGTGTTGCCTTGGATTGACTTGCACACAACAGAACCCTTGATAAATGGATATCGACCTGTAGAAGGCGGGGACGAAACTACTCGGGTAAAATTCGTCTCACAATGACCCAAGAATTGTGTTGACGTGACATTTACCATTCTTGTCTCTTATACATATGGTCTGATACTTAAATTGCATTAGTATTAATTTAAAAGAGGTATGACAATTAAATAATGTATGTAATAAATCATAAGGTTAACTTATTAAAACTTAACAGGTAATGTCCATCACATGAAACTCGACCCATTCCACTTATATAAAATTGTGCGATGGATGGATTTGATTCAATCGGTAGCATATGAGTATATGCTTTGTTTCCACATAAAATGGGGATGTCAGATCTAAATATTAAAAGCCAACTGCAGATTGCGTCAAGGTCACGAGATGTAAACTGGGTTAGGGCATGTGATTATGTGATTGTTGCTGAGGATTGTGGGGTCGGGTTAGAGCTAGCTCTGGACGCTAAACCCCCCTCTCTCTCTCTCTCTCTCTCTCTCTCTCATATATATATACAAATGTCTTTGTAAATGAAATGAAATGGGGTTTAACGTATTACTGACGGGCATGCGCCAAACAATTGGGCTATGAGGGAAATTTTGCCAGGGCAGCGGCACTATGGCCTACTCTTATATCGAATTCCAACTGCCAAGGAAATGTCTATGTGAAAAGGTGGGGTAGGGACAAAATTAAGAAGCCAATTGACCAATTGCTAGTGCCATCATCCCAGCGTGGTTGTATCATTATTTTGTGTTTATTTTAATTTAGGTTTAAGTGAACCAGTTTGTCTTGGATCAAGAGGATCTGGTATTATCTTATTTGGACAATGGTTCTGGTTTGATGGTCGATTTGTTGAAGTTAATGTTGAGTACTACAATTTGATGTTACTTAGACAATGTTTAACTGTAAAAAGAAATGATATCATTTCACCAAAGATCTGTGCAATCGTATCTTGTTATCCACTCTGTGAGGTGCCAGTATTTTCGGTCTAATTTCAGAGTTATTGGACGTTGCATGTTGTTTTTTGTTTTTTTTTCGTTTTTTTTTTTTTTGGGGGGGGGGGGGGGGCGAAATAGATTATGTCCTTTATATTTTAAAACATATGATAGTACTTACTTCTTTATAGACATATATACATATGATAGTATTTACTTCTTTATAAACATATATACATGTGATAGTATTTACTTCTTTATAAACATATATACATGTGATAGTATTTACTTCTTTATAAACATATATACATGTGATAGTACTTACTTCTTTATAAACATATATACATGTGATAGTACTTATTTCTTTACGACTTGTTTTTGATAATCAAAATCGGGGCCAAATGCCCATAAAAAGGCACGGAAAGTAACAAATATCTCATACCAGATCACCCCCCCCCCCCCACGCCACGCACACACACACACACCCACACACACACATCCCACACCTGGATACATAACGTTTAATCTTGTCAAGGGGTAATCGTATGCCTTCAAAGTGATAAACACTCTTTTCTTCTATTAACCATAATGTTAATTTTGAATGTATGTTAATGTTAAGGTCGCCTTGAAAAAGCGTGTGTGATAAATTGAAGGCCAATGAATGGTGTAGTGTATGATAAGTATGGTCTGAATCCATAAAGAGTTATCTTACATTGTATATACTCTCTAGTAAGAGAGTCAGGAGTTTATTAAAAAGAGCAGGGTTTCATGGCATTTGAGTTGTTTTGTAAAGAGTCTTAAATGGGTATAAAGGAACGTTACACATAGCTGTGATCAAATCGATTTAAACATCACTCACTGTAAATCATTTGTATCATTACAGGCCCGGGACTGTACAGCTCAGGGGACGATTATAGCTCACCACATTATTATTTGTATTGCTTACAATGTATGTGCAGTCTGTGTCTTGTCCGCCGGTTTGTCTTATCGGTTTTGTTTTGTTTGTTATATTCATTATGATATTGATCAAAATTAGTTACATTTATTTTCTTCCTGAATGTGATAATGGTTCTATAAGATATAGAGACAAATTTAATAAAGTTTTAAAATTGTCGAAAAATAATAATATATCTTACTCTAGTTATAGTCTGTTATTTCTTTTGTTATCTCAGTACAAGCCCTGAGAGGGTTATGGAAAGTATTGGTTTTTTCTTCTGTCTAATAAAACAAAGACACTTACTGTTAAAATACTCACTTAAACACAGAACAATGCTAGATACAATAATCAGGCAAGTCCTTCTCCTTTAACAAGATTATATTACTGCAACTCTTACTCTAGTATCTTAATTCCTGTCTTTAGACATAAACAATTTTACCCCGAGTTCTTCGGTTCAAACACATTTAACCACACCTTTTAGTCGTTGCTAGACAATGGGATCAAAATGTCTGTCGATTGTCGTTTTACTGTATGGAGTACAACCAAATTTGGTAGACATACTTCCTGGGTTCGATTCATGGAAATAAAGGTGCTCGACCCCATTGACATATTTGTCTCTCAACCGTTTCATAAATCCCAAGTTTACTTATTCAGATTTGTTACAAACGTACATATAAGATTTCAATAGAATTTGGAATGTATGATGCTTGTATAATGCATATTCAGATTGATGTAAATGAGGCTGGGCGAAACGGAAGGACTTCCCCAATTAATATTCTTTAAGTGTCGTTTAGTACCAGGGTATATATATATAAATTATAACACATACTTAAGGAAAAACAGCTACTGGTTTATTTAGGCGACGTTTCGAGGTGTATTCTTACAACGTTATTAAGCTAATAAGTATGTCTTATATACTGAAGTCCAAAAGAAAGTATACACACTAAAAATATGACTAAATTTTGTTAAATCAAAAAAATGTGATGAAACAGGACGAAATGAACAGTGTATACTTTCTTTTGGACATCAGTATAGTTTATTCGAATTCCCCAGTCAAGTTGCTTTCATACTTTATCGACTTCCTCATCCAAACTGCTTTGCAGATTCTAACCATATTATATCTTTAGTAGTCAATACATGCTAAAATATATGTTAACCCAAATATGGTGGAACAAATTTAGCATGTGCTGAGCCTTTCAAATAGATTCCAACAATATTGCTCAGGTAGTTATTCAGATTTAGATGCTTTCTTGAACGCGAATTTGCGGGATTGTTAGTTATTGAAATACCAATGTAAATTTGTATAAAGTCAGGTTGCTTGGCCCCAGGTGTCTTTGAAGCGGCTATAACCTAATGGTAGAAGTAGAGGTAACTCGACGATTTAGGAAAGGATGGTATGATGTATTTACTGTCTGTGGTTTTCAAAATAGAACTACCGTAATGAATACCGCCAACATTTAAATAAAACAACAAAACGATTACATTTACAGGCTTTAGCTTATTTTTTTTCCTTTAAAAACGGACTGTTATTTTCCCCCTACTTTCCTAAAAGACCTCATTTCACTGTCGTCACCCTTGTCTGTCCGTTTGGCGTGAGGTCTGGGGGATTACCCGAGCGAGAGTTGAAGTTTGGCGTGATGTCTGGGGGATTACCCGAGCGAGAGTTGAAGTTAGGCGTGATGTCTGGGGGATTACCCGAGCGAGAGTTGAAGTTAGACGTGATGTCTGGGGGATCACCAGAAAATTTATTAAAATCAGAAGATCTGAGATAATATCTCTGCACATTTAGGTCGATACATGTACTGGATTAGAGTGGGGGGTCAAAATGGTGGCAATAATCCACGGGTTTGTTTGTTGGTCACCATTTCGATGAATCTGTGTGTTTGTGATGGGGTTGGGGGGTGTCTGGACACGCACCTGGTAAATTTCCCCCGTACCACAATGTAAGGCGTTCATCCGTCTTCATTAGCCTAGGCTGTGCAGAATAGTAGGACGTCGTACGTACACCCCATTTCATTTTTTTTCTATTTCCTACACTATATTTTACACTCACAGACACGTCGTGTCAGCAGAATGACATTAGTTTAATTATAAAATATTTTATTGAAACAAAATTAGAATAAAAAATATAAAACATTATTTCACTAATATAATTATACAATGGATAGTTCAATCATGTTAGTTAACCGTTCTCTATTATTCTAGGTCAGCCAAATATCACCTGATAACCACGACTAATGTATCACCTGATAATTGTGACTATTGAATGAATTATATGTATTATTAAGCGAGTTTTGTGTTATGAGGTTAGATTACTTAGAATAGAATTCAATATATGGATTAGGTGGATGGGGGGGGGGGGGGGGTATAAGATACCAGGGTGCTGGTGGGCTTCATACCACACACCACACCACAACACCCTCACCACCTACTAAACATTCCACCCTCACCACCTACTCAAAAAACAAAAGAACAATTGATAATTCCTAAAAATAATATCTATTCCCCTTCAGACCCCCCCCCCCACCCTCCACACACCACTGTGCAATATACAAGTGTTGAACACATCAAAATATCATATCAATATAATCACTATATTTTACCATGTATAGTACTCAACCACGTCCTGGTCTACAACACCAAGTTGTTCCAGGTTATAGTCATTGTTGTTATCATAACTGCCGTAGATATATCTCCCATCATATCCTCCTATAACAATCCAACTAATCTTTACATTTTTCTTCTCTTCTATCAACTTCATTAAATCATTAACACTGACTTTCTTACTGATAGTTATAGTATCTCTACAAATATCTAACCTCCTACTGCCCCCCCCCCCGCACCCTACAACTCATTGTTTAATATAAAGGAGTCCATCAATACATCATATCAATATAATCACTGTATTTTACTATCAACGGTACACCACCTCGCCCCGGTCTCCAACACCAAGTTGCGCCAGGTTATAGTCATTGTTGTTATCATAACTGCCGTAGAATCTCCCATCATATCCTAGAACAATCCAACTAATCTTTACATTCTTCTTCTCTTCTATCAACTTCATTAAATCATTAACACTGACTTTCTTACTGACAGTTATAGTACCCACATCATTACCTGACCAACTATAAATACAGGTTAATATATTATATCATTATCAACTGATATAAATACAGGTTAATATATTATATCATTATCAACTGATATAAATACATCGCATTGTTTCACTAGTTAGTATATTATTCAAGTCACGTGTATTTAGACATCAGGTAACATTAGTTCATTATTCATAGAAACTTTTTTTATTGTAACAAACCATCATTCAATAGACGTCAACAGTCAAGACACTTGTTACAGTTTGTTAAGTCTACAAATCTTTAAAATATATTTTATTATGAACACATTTACTTACAAGTCATTTAACTTTAGAGTAATATCATTATTCGTATCCCTGATATAACGTCTAGTATTAGTGTTGGTGTTTGTCGTAACTTCTGATTGTTCTACTTTCTTCTTAAATGCTTCCAGGTCAGCCACCCTGTCTTTTAATTCTGCGATTTCTTCATCTTTTCTTTCCATCTTTGCATCAACATCTTCAGTTCTTCTTCTGATATCAAATCTCAGATCTTCAATTTCCGATCTGAGATCGTCGATGTCGTTTGGGTAGCTATTTTCATGTATTGTGTTTGTTGTACCCATCTGTAGAGCATTACAATCACCATGAATGTAGGTGAAGTGAGTAACAGATGATAACTAGAATAGAACATGAATACAACCATTAGAGTATACATGTAGGTATTGTGGATAACAGTTGATAACTAGAATAGAACATGAATACAACCATTAGAGTATACATGTAGGTATTGTGGATAACAGTTGATAACTAGAATAGAACATGTAGAGAGAGAGATGGGGTTAACGTCCACTCGACACAAACAAGGTTGGACAGGCAACCTAACTAATACATGTAGGCAACTGGAATAAATGCCGTCCATTAAAAATGTTCACGTGATCATTTTGGGACGTGACTTATCGACTGGCACTACTTTCTTTACCCACAGCACGTGGTTTATGTAAACAAATATGAATAAACAACCAAGAAAACAATGTATACAGTTTTAAGCATATACGTTGAATGTTTAGTTGAAGATGTTCTATTGACAAGGAGTTAGTGGTGTGATGCCTGAAGACAACTCCTTGATTGTTTGTCTCCAAGACTAGACAATAGGGTCGAGTAGTGAAACATGTGAGACGAGAAGACATTTTAAATATTATTTTACAAAAACAGATGAATTAATATTTGTATTAATCAGCCCATTTCCTTTCCTTTCTTTATATGTAACATGTTCTCTACTCTGGTCTCGTTTATTTAAAACACAGATTCACATTAATACCAGATCGTTGGACTGTAGGGCACATTTATAAACATTCATTCTTTGATTGGATGTTTGATACCCCCTTCCCCACCTTCCATCTTACCAGATTCCATGACCTTTCCCGTCTACCTCCTTCCTTGTTAAACTCTATTGTTGATCGGTGGACATGGGACAATAAAATCACCCCCCCCCCCTTCAATGTTAAAGCATTAGTTTCTGTTTCTATCGTGTTGAAGTTGTTGTTTCTGATTCTCAAGAAAATTATTTTATAATTTTATAATCATGACGTAGTTGTACTTACAGCGGTGGCCATTGTTCTTAACTTTATTATTCTATGACAACTTTCTTCTACTAGAGTTCCCTTAGAACCTTACTAAAGACTAACAGAACTGTATAACACTGGGCCAGGGTGGTTCTATAAAATTTACCAATTGGAATAACCCAATCTATGTATAGTGTATTAATCACGTGTTATAGTCTTGTATAACTTGTCTGACTGATATTTACATTGAGCGAGATCGGGTACGAGAAATAATTATATTATTTCTACACTCATGAATAGCTATTCTTGATAAAGAATATAGTCTTGAACACTAGTACGATATTTTTCTGTATTATAAGTTTAACCTAAATATAGAAATAAAATAAAATGTGTTGTAACAGTCTGATTGAATGCACCCCAGTTATTTGATCTGTAGGTGTTCAGTTGTGTCTGGATAACTTTGACTATTGAATACAATAAAATGATCTGTATCTGACGTCATTGGAAAAACCAGTCTAATTATACGTATTACGACAGCTTATAATATGGATTCAGACTGGTAATCACCCTACGAATTAAACATACATTATGCAAGATCTTAATCTGCCTATTGCCCTAAATGTTATCTAAATTATTAATTAGACATTAATTAACTTATCAAGACCATAATTAATTCTCGATGCTATCGTTAGCCGGCGATATTTTAGTGGATTTGAATGCGTTTGTTGATGGATGATTTTACGTAAAAATGGATAAACAAGACTTTTATAATCGTACCAGTGGTAGTAATGACGATCGAGCCTAGCCTAAAATTGAGTCTCTAATATCTCGGTTCAGAATGAAGCAATTTGACTGAAATTTTCAGCATACTCTGTTTTCATTATCTATTTTTGAACTATTATAGCGAGAACTGTTGGCTCTTCATCTTTATCTTACCTAATGCATTTTTATCATTAAAGTTAATTTCATGTCAAATGTCGACCTGGCGTATACTTTCTGATAATCTTAATCTATATATTTATGAAACTTATAAATTCTTAAATATATGAGAAAGAATAATAATGGTGGTTGACTTTCTCTGTTTTAACAACACGAGTTGAAATTAACACCAATAGGTAAGTGGAAATTTTTCACTCGAGGAGGGGTTCACCATACCGCAGGTGCACTAGTCCGCAACTCTAAGAAATGTTATAAATATGGGTTCACTAGTCCGCGGGTGCACGAATCCGCCGTTGTGTCATAATGAATCGCGCAGACTATATCTCAGAGGCAGAAAAACAATTAAGTAATCCTATACATTACACTAAATTAGACCAACCCATCCAGCCCGGAACCGAACACTAGGACGTTAAACTCCATTTCATTTCCAGACGAAGAGAGAGAGAGAGAGAGATGGGGTTCAACGACCACTCGACACAAACAAGGCCATTTCGTTACTACATGGTTCAATTTTATTTTAATAATTCTCTTGCGAGGAGGGGTCTAGCAGTGGGAGGAAACAGGAGGACCCGGAGAAAACCAACGAGGTTGGACAGGCCACACTAATCCTTGTCACGTACAACCGCCGAACCGGGGGAATCGATGCTGAAATTGAAAACAACATCGAACGTGATATTATTGGCAAATACTATTTCAAATACAAGCTAAACAACATTTGCGGATTAGCTTATATTTGAAATAGTATTTCAATTTGCAAACCATGCCATGTTCGATGTTGTTTTCAATTTCAACACTCCAGCAAACCATTCAACCTGACGAAGAGCGAGTCGTTGGTATCAACATAATGGTCCCGATCACACGGTGGCGACACCAAACGACGTCATAATGGTGGTTGCTAAGTAGAAGTATCAAAATTCTAAATTTGTTTGACTTTCATGCTTAACATGTAAAGCGACAACAAAGTAGACATTTTTCGTTTTAATAATAGAAATAAGATGAAACAGAATTAAAATTTACACTGAACAAAAAAAAAAGTTGGATTATACATTGTCTTAATTTAGAAATTACATGAATAGAAGTTAGAAATTACATGAATAGAAGTTAGAAATTACATGAATAGAAGTTAGAAATTAGACGATAGCACGTTAGAATTCTGAGTCTAATATACCGCCATACTTAGCCACGTGATCCCCCAACGTCTGTGGATCTTATAGTACTATATTATGAAATGAAATGAAATGAGGTATGAAGCAGCCTCAGACCCAAACAAAAATGTTAAAATCTCACAAAAGAAAACTGAACGAAGATTTGAATCCCCTGAGGCAGGGTCCACTAGTCCACTGGTGTTCGTTCTCGTTGTTGGCCGAGCATGATCATCAGGATGTTCTGGAGTGGCTACCCCTTGTCAATGGTGCAGGACGGCAGGCCTGGCAATGGAGAAGGTGTAGTTGTTCGAATGGGTCGAAAAAACGAAGTCCAGTGTACACATTGGCGTTCACGTAAAAGAACGGGCAAAATTCCCCCCATAGCACATTGTATTGCGTATGTCCGTCTTCATTAGCCCAGTCGAAGTAGAACAGTAGGACGTTAAACCCCATTTCATTTCATTTCTATGAGTTTAACTATCAGATCCGGATTAAGGTTTTCCCGGACCCCTGGGATACAGATAATAATTTCAAAAATGTTTTTTTTTACAAGGCTAACAATAATTAATATTAAAAAATTTGCTTTCAGTAATTTCTTTCAAACATATTTCTCCAAAAACTTTAATTCGGCATTTACAATTGAAATTAATTTTCACTTTGTTAATTTTTTTCCCCGTGAAATGGGCGATTAAACATTGAAGAACCACTGTCAAATCATGTTCCTGAAGCAACAACTGCGAGTTTTACAACATCTGGGCGTTGCTAGATTACTTCACCATTCCCGAACTCATTGCTACGTTATCTACAGATACGTGAACAGTAGCGTCCAATCAGAGGTTTTGACACGGAAACCTTGACATTGAACGAACCTTGAACTTTGCAACTTGATTATCACAGGTAGACATTTTAGCTGGAAAGCGCGAGACTTAGTATTCGCGATGATCGAGGAATATGATAGGCTCACATGCTGGGTGAATATCGAAATATAAGATGTACGTACTTAAAAGGAAATCAAACTTTCTATTGGAGATGCTGTCCAATAGGAATCCTCCATCTTTATGGAAACTACTTGTTATAAATCTTATAAATCCGTATCAATAATAAGTTCAGGAACGCCGTGACAAATAAATATGTGGTTTGAATAAGTTTCTCATATTCGTTTTAAAATGTGAGTTTCATCTCTGCTTTGCCACACGAAAAATGTCTGACGCCGATAGTATAATCAAGATGTCCTTCACATGGCGGTTAACGTCCAACTTTTCTTCACCTACATATAATGAAGTTTGCTGTACGTGAGATTTTGGCCAGACAATGGCACTGCGGCCAATTCCAGGTGCATCCCTCGGGGTTTCATCCCACCCAGACGACTAGACGCTTGCCTGGTCCTCCGCCCTGCACCACGGACAACTGAAAACATCGCCGGATAATTCCGAGGAACTTTTAAAGACCAACACCGGGACCTGGAAGAAAAGTAGGCGGAAACGACGCTGTCAGGGTAAAATGTCCCGCCATATCACATTTCATGTGGTATACCCGTCTTATCCAGTTGTTGTAGAATAGCAGAACCAAATTTCACTTGTATTTGACTAGAAATGGGGAATAAAATGATCGATTCCAGTTTGTATCTAAATCTCATCTACGGTGATGAAATTTTCAAATTCTTCTTATGGTCGACCCTCGAAACCACCATGACTGGGGCCCTTCGAAACAAGCCACCTCAGCTAACCTTCCCTTAATCCGTCCCTATAGAACGTCCTACTGTTCTCCCCCGATTAGAGGGGGATTACAATTTGTGAGTACCGAGATAGTGAAATTTAATGGTGGTCTGCCTCCACAACCAGCGAACAGAGTACCGCCCCTTCTGTTCTATTAATGCAAAAGTCCCACGGACATGCGTCAATAATGCACAATGCAGAATGGGGGAGTGTTATGTGCAAAATAACTAATACATGACTCTCTTATATATGTACTGTATTTTGTATTATTGAAAGGTGTATTCTGTATTTTAATACTGCAATATTGGTATTGTGAAGCAATGGAAATTGCAAATTGTAAAACCAAATAAGTATTTTGAACTGGTGACATAAAGTTTATTTTAATGTCTGGGGATAATACGGTCACAAACTCAAGTAAAATGTTTTGTAACAGTTCACTGAAGAGAGCGACGTCCATTTTGACGACAATGGCCGAATTAACTTCCGTTCGGGTGTAGTGAACTGTACTCTGTCGTATAGTTATGACCATACAAGAGCACCAGAAGGCTGTCTAGCGAAAGAAAAATAGAAAAAGTCTGTGCATTACCATGTTTTTATTAAGTATAGAATGAATAAAAACAAGTGAATGTACGGACTGTTTCTGTTTTTCTCGTGTTCTCTTATTTAGTGACATTCAATTACTTTATTGAATTGTCAGATATGCTCTTATACAGTCTCATAACAACTTTTGGTCTTCGAAGGAATTATTAGTGAGCAGAAATTGGCCCATGTTTCTGTTATCACTCGTCACTTTAGTCAGTTATATAGAGGGATAACTCGTGTTTTCTTTTTGCGTTCGTCACTTCCGATTCTTGAAACCTTTATTACGCATCTATCGTAGCAATGATCTCTGTGTTAAAATTATACTTGGAACTTGTTTAACCAGTTAATTACATGTGATAATGACTGACACCAATATTGTCCTTTAATGTCTGTAACAAAGCCGAATTGACACCATTATGGGGCTGGCTTCGTCTGATTTCATCCAAGTTAAATGTAGACTAGATGTCTAGAGTGTCACGCTTCGATCTCAGGCTGGCCGGTCATCTCTGGCTTGCGATCGTGGTTTAGATTCCTGGCTTGAGCGTAAGTGACTTAAGAGATAGGGCATGCTCCTCGCGGTGTTTCGTTTGATGAGAGCTAATCCCACTTAACACTGCTGTAGAGGAAGCAAATTTCTATTCAAATTATGACTGGTCAATAGTGCGATTAACAACCAATAGCTAACTGCGTAACAATATCATTCGGCTTTAAACAGTGCTCCTTCTCAACCTCGTGGTTTACTCCAGGTACTCACGTTTCCTCCCACAGGAAAGACCCATGCGCGTGCGCTGAACATAATAATATAAGACAACTTGTGTGCGACATCACCCTCGGTGGACGCGGACGTAAAACACTAATAGAAGAAGAACCGCGGATGACACGCTGGCTCAGTCAGTAAGATTGTTAGCTTGCTAACCTGAAGGTCCCGTATTCGATCTGGTGTTGTCCGAGAAAGTTCATCTGGATTTTCCGGCTTGGATCCCTCTTGCTCGTGGTTCAGACTCACGGTCTGGCAATAGGTAACAAATAGCCTTTCGGATGGGACGAAAAAAACGAGAACTTGTGTACAGATGGACGTGCACCTAAAAGAACCCTTGGCAGTCGGGGCCAAAGCTATTTTTAGTCTTCCTCTCCCTTTCCCTTTTTCCCCCTTTTGCATGCCGATTTTTGTTGACTTTTTGGTGTAGAATCGAAGAAAAGGGTTTGAAAATACATTTTCTGCCGTTTTTTGGTGAATATTCATAATTTTGATGCGGAAGGATACAAGAGCTGAGAGGTTGCTTAGGTTGAAATGTAGGGCCTGAAATTGCATGTTTACTTGTCTCTACTTCCAGCTTGTGTATCTCAGGTTTTTCATGAAGAACCTCATACGTGCTTTTGGGCAAGTTTTAAGAAGAATCTCTGCTGTTCACTATAGCAGTTGGGCTATCAATCATTATCAGAGGCGGATCCAAGGGGGCGCGAGGGGCTCGCCCCCCCCCCCTAATTTTCGACAGTGTCCTTTTTGACTGCTGAAAGTGCCTTTTCTCACACCCAAATATGTCCGTTCCCAACCCGTTGCAGGGACTCCAAATGACTCAAACCATCGACTCAAACACCAGTCTGGTCTAATTAATGCTTCCACTTTCAAACGAATTCTTGTTGATTAGCTGACGGTGCCCTAATCCTATAGAGTGACTATAGACAGGCATCAATGATAGCATCTTGTGGAATCGGCGGCGTATACACACATGTCCATCACCGACGCGCATGAGTGCAACTTGATGTAGCATTGTTTCATGTGTGGACAGTACACAGTACAAGTTACAAGGCTTAAATAGAGAAGTGGCTAGGGAATAGATTCGTCTTTTTTCCCATCATAATGCCTCGCTCGCCTTGACAATTTTCGAGTCGCATGTTCAACTGGCTTTTTTGCTCGATTTTAAGGATCTTTTTCAACGATTTCCGAACGTTTACTCAGACGGAAATATCAGCCAAATAGCTCTTGGAATGGCTACAGATGCAAGGAAATGACGGATAATATCCTTGGGGGACCACCCCCACCCCCTCTCAGCGACGTGCCCTGTCTCCGCGGTCAGTGCCCTCATTTTGAGCCCCCCCCCCTTTCAAAATTCCTAGATCCGCTCCTGATTATAGTTCGAATAGAGCTGGCGTTCTGATTATGAAATTTAAACAGTCTAATAACCATTGACTCATCTTCTGTCTGAAAGCAAAAATCAAAATTATACATTTACAAAATGACTATATCTACATCTCAAATAATTACCCTACACATTTGGTCCTATTCTTGTTTGAAAACGTTGAGAGAATACTCTTCGAACCGTTGCCAATATAAATAAGTAATTTTTCTTCCTTAACTATTTCGCGTAAACTAGTTATCTACAATGACAGAATATATGCGTCACGAACAGCTTTGGCTACATCCTCTGACTGAAATTTACACACAAGTTATTAAAAAATACAATATTTTTTTTAAAAAAAAACAAAACAAAATTTAATATTTTTTTGCTTTGCTCAGTGATCAGATTGATTATTAAACCTTGCGAACTCAATGTTGCAAAAGAATCTTAATATATTTTTGCAAATTTAGCCAGATTGTTTTATTTAAAGAGAGAGAGAGAGCGAGAGAGAGAGAGAGAGAGAGAGAGAGAGAGAGAGAGAGATGGGTTTAACGTTCACTCGACACAAACGAGGTCATTTCGGGACTAACATATGGTTTAATTTTATTTCAATAATTCGCTTGCGCGTAGGGGTCTTTAGCATTGGGAGGAAACCGGAGGACCCGGAGAAAACCCACGAGGTTGGACAGGTCACCCTAATTCTTGTCACGTACAACCGGGGATTCGAAACCACACCAGTTGACTCAATGACAGGCCTTATGATACAGCGCGCACGTGCTAACCATTCGCCCCCCCCCCTTATTTAAAGATACATTAGTTAAACATACATTATGACGTCACATTAATAATGATGTCATTGTATTAATCATAAACATACATTATGCAAGAGCTAAATCTGCCTATTGCGGGTCTTTCTTTAGACCTTAAGTGTTCTCTAAATTATTAATTAGACATTAATTAACAAAACAAGACCATAATCAACTCCCGATGCCATCGGATACTCGAGATTTTAACTAGATTAGAACGGTTCGCCATTTAAATATTTAATTTAAAAATGAGAAAGCGAAGCTAAGTCTCGAATATATACTAGTGCCCTAGTTACCACAATGTCAAAACTACAAACACTGATAACTTGGTTCAGAATAGAGTTATTTGAATGAATTTTCAATATTTTCATTTTGCATTATCTATTTTTGAGCCATTATAGCAAGAATGGCCAACTCCTTACCAAAATCTTACATAATGTATCTTTAAGAGCTAAATATGCCTATTGCAAACCTTTCTATAGGCTTCAATTTATTAAATAGACCTAACAAGCCCAAAATGTATTCTGTAGACCCTCGGACGGCCTAGATACAGCTTTTATTTAAACAGTCATCCATCTAAATCATTAAATAGCTGACCAAGCTAACATTTACCGTTAGTCACTGACGTCACTACCAGAGATTGACTGAAATTTTCAGTATTTTCTTTTTTTCTTATCATCTTTTTTTGAACTGTTATACCAAGAATGGTCAGTACTTTATCAAAGTACTAATGTATCTTTAAGCATAAAAATAAGAACAATGATGGAATGGGGGGGGGGCGCTTAACCGTTCGTCAACGAATGTATGTCAGTTTGTGGGGGGTTGGATGGCCGAATGGTTAGCGCGTCCACGTTGAATCATAAGGTCTGCCATTGACTCAACTGGCGTGGTTTCGATTCCTCAGTTGTACGTGACAAGGAGTAGGATGACCTGTCCTATCTCGTGGGTTTTCTCTGGGTCCTCCTGTTTCAATCCACTGCTAAAGACCCTTACGCGCAAGCGAATTATTGAAATAAAATTGTTAGTCCCGAAATGACCTACTTTGTGTCGAGTGGACGTTAAACTTTACATGCCATCCGAACAACTAAACACATTTTCAAGTTTAGGATGTGACGATGAGTTGGAAACCGAGGCTTGGGTATTTTTAAGACAGGAGACAATAATTGAGGATTGCTCCCTGTGTTGGCTGAGAGAGTTCCCATGTCAGTGGTGTAGGAACTAGGAACAGTGTCTAGTCGTTCAGTTGGGACGAAAAACAAAGGTCCCGTGTACACATAGCACAATGTATGGCATATGTCTGTCTTTAGTAGCCCAGTCGGTGCGGAAAAGTAGGACGTCAAATTACATTCTATCTTTAATTATATAAGACTACTATGACTCACGTATTATAAAACGTAAAGTTTGAATATTGTCAAGTCATCTTTCAACGAAAAAACATACTGTTTATATCCGGGTGTTAAGTGTCTTGTCGCATGACGTATATTGTACATCTATCAATGAATCTATTTATAGAATATCGTTTATCCTTGTCAGGTATATAAAACCATTGAACCGCGGAGTGCTCGTATTGGGCAATATATAGGGTAGCCATTTTTGTTTTTCGAGGAAAAAGATCTATACCTTATTCATTTGAAGCTCACAAAAATTGAAGATGGACTTTATTACATATTTAATAGGAATATCGCTGCTGTTGGTGTCATATATTCAAGGTAATTTATTTTTTATTTTAGGAATAGTTTTAAGGTGAATACGTTTTTTCCTATTATATATATATCAAGGTAGGGACATGATAAATAATTATTAATATACCTTCTTGGTTAAGTATGTTGTTCACCATAAACTGTTTCATCGGGTAGAAGGAAAGAAGGTGTCTTTAATGGCACGTCATCGCCAACCGGGCTTTATTGGCGGCCATTGTATGGGGTAAAGATTTCGATTTGCTTTGCGACAAACTCTAGACCACGACTGATGGTGGTGGTGGAGGCAGGGTGGGGGTATGTGGAAGTTTTGTTATTTGGCTTACTGAATGTCGACAGTGGAACACATAATTTCATCAGGTAGAGCTGGTGGGTGGGGTTATTACCATGAGACAACACAATCTAGACTACGGTTGATTTGTAAGGAGGGGATTGGAAGATTATGTAGAAGTTTTAGTTTTGATATTTGGCTTACAGTGGAGAGAGAGAGGGGGGGGGGGATGGGAATTAATCAGGTCATTTCGGGACTAACATATGGTTCAACTCTATTTCAATAATTCGCTTGCGCGTAGGGGTCTTTAGCAGTGAGGGGAAACCGGAGGACCCGGGGAAACCCACGAGGTTGTTCAGGCGACCCTACTCCTTGTCACGTACAACCAGAGAATCGATACCACGCCAGTTCACTCAATAGACCTTATGATACAACGCACACGCGCTAACCATTTGACACCCCCCCCCCCCCGCTAATTCAACTGAACACTTGCTTTATCTAAATGGTCATCCCAAAATACAACCAGTTTTATTTTTGGGCGAATTGGGGGTCGTTCACTGAACCTTTAAACAATTTACATTGCTTTCCCCGCCGCCACCCCAACCCCCTCACCATTTGTTTAAAAAAAATATGAATTTTGGTAGGCGCTGTAGACAAAAAAAGTGCAGCCTATATCGCAATTGGTTATTGAGTAACCAATTTGGTCCAACTAAAACGAATATATGGAGAAAGATGGGTGGCGAATAGTATAACGAGAGCGCTTTAGATCATAAATCGGTGGTATCGATTCCCTGCTTGTGTGGGCCACCTGTCCAGCCTTGGGGGTTTTCTCCGGGTGCCCTGATTTCCTCCCACTATTGAAGATCCCTGCGCGCAGGTGAATTATTGAATTAAAATTGAACCATTTATAAGTCCTGAAATGATCCTGCTCTCTCTCTCTCTTTCTCTCTCTCTCTCTCTCTCTTTCTCTCTCTCTCTCTCTCTGTGTTTTAACAATATTTTATTGAATATAATAAATATGGGATAGGATAACAAGCTGTATCATCTGATATAAAACTGTCTCTTTATTATGACTCAATAAAAGATTTACAACTGACAGTCATAATAACTTTTATTTTTGCATATCACGTCCATTAAGGATATGTATCATATACTTTATACATCAATGTCCACAGATACAAAAATAGATTATTTGACATCGAGTAATAAATACATTGATAAATATACACAGATCAGAATACATCGAAACGCCCTTTGAGGGCTGAATACTTTTTTTTTTATGCAAGTTCATTGCATCCAAACGCCTTTTGAGGGTAAAATATTTTTATTTGTTTTTGCTCTTTGTGGAGGTATCTCGAATCTCCCTGGATTTAAAGGGGTTAGGGTTAGGGTCTTGTTTACTGATTCTTCTCTATATCAAAAACCCCGTGTTTGCATTTATGTCCCGACGGAGGTGATTATAAATTTACCGAACGGTATAAATGGGTTGTCGTTTACCTCCTAATGGGCCGATTAATTTCGTATTTTTTCCCTCCTTCTGGGCGGTAATTATAATATTAGATCGGGTGAGAATACACTTTACAAATGTGAAAATTAAAAGTACAAAAATTACATACGGGTACATATTCGAAATCAGAGAAAACAAAGCATACATACAAGATACATGATGGGAAAACCCCCAAATCACAAAATATGCTCGCATAAATATACGTGTAATTATATATTATGTAGACATATAATTTAATTGTCCAAAAAATGTGTAGAATGGACTAAACATGTAATTAAAGTTTTAACAAGTTTGTTTATTTCAAGTTCAGAGACCCATAGAACATACATACAATATGCACAATTGTCATAAACTTTGATAGAATGAGTAACTATGCTAGGAGTGTCTAAATAATTAAAGATATAATTTAAAATATAATAAAATATTAATCAATTCATCGAGGTCAAGTAAAAATATAAATGGAAACGTGCAATATAATACGCATGTGCAAACGACTGTCATTCAATTTGGATTCTTCACGTATAATGTCGTGTATTTTACCGAACATAACTGATTAGAAATTACAATAAAGTTATAAACGATTGATTGTAAATCTTAAAATACAGATGTGATGTCATCCTTTGATGTTAGCGAATGGTACTGGCAACGTGCCAATCGTAGATTATTTATACTAGTTAAAATATTGGACTTGCGTGACGATTTCAATGAAATCTACTTACGAGATAGTGTTTATACAGGTTCTCCGTTTTTCGTACCTTCCGAACGACTAGACAGCTGTCCTTGTCAGTCCCTGCTGTCCTGCACCACCGACGAGGGGAAAATACGCCGGAAATTAAGGATGAACTTTCTCGAACAACAATTTTTCGAATTAGGACACAGGGATAGAAAAAATAGACCATCTTTTACAGAAGGGGTGGAATATTGGATGCACAGCTTCTGATCAGATGGAATAATCTTGTAGTTTTTGTGTTTCTAACACGTAAAAGGTAGCCATCCAGCGAGGTCGTTGATTTCTATACATTCCATGCGTTCTCAGTTTGATTCCTGACCTGACCTCAGAAGAAATAGGAAGCAAATAAAAAATCAAATTGACTAGTTTGTAAAGTGGACGTTAAACCCCTTCTCTCTCCCTCTCTCTCAAAAATTCTCGTGGACTTCATTCAACGAGCGCTAAGTAGTTCTAAGTTATGCTTGGTATGCTATGTTTTTCAATCCTATGTTTAATGGTTTTTTTGCAGATACCTATGCGTACAGCTGTCGGTATGGAAGTGGCGTATTTTCCTCCTACAGATATTGTGCCTATGGTTGTTGTGGTACTTATAATAACGTGTGCTGCAGTTACACCGCGTAAGTAACAAATAATCATAATTATAAAATAACCCCCAACTCATTCCCGACACTCTTCGACAAAAGGCCCAAGGATCTGCTAATTTAAAGTAGCTAAGTCTCTAACTCAATATCATCCAAAGTCATACACGTTGAAAATACGAATTATTTGTCAATTTAAATCAACATTGGTGTTGTGATCTTACCAGGAAAAGACAGGCTTCTGATATTCTATATTTAAGACAAAATAAACATTTTACCATTGGTACACGAATCGTGTACCATAATGCGTTTTAGCGTCATTTGCAACAGGTGACCAGAAAGAACGAGGCTAGACATATTCAACTGGAGAGTCTGCTCAATAGACTGGAATAACCAGACGCTAGAAATTGCTATAGGGTTGAGACACAGGTCGTATTTCGCTGGACATAACGGAAACAATTGAATGTAAATCAGTTTATATACAATCAGATTACATTATTAAATGCGTTGCGACCCATTGTGGTCAATTTCATTCCAAAATTATAGCCAATCTGATTAAAATACCGATCTATATTTCGTTTCGTTTTTTTATACTTTCGATGGCCTACACTACATGAAGATCTGACAAGTTATAGCGATAGGTCACGTCAGGGGTCAAAAGACCGACTTTTGACCTATGACGTCAGACATTTGATTAACCAATCAGCATTGATGTTACTAGTGGATTACCCACAGTTCCGGGCAAAAGAGGTCAAACACTCGATTCGACAGACCATTTGATTGGCTGACCCCTCATTTCAAGCAGAACACGTGTTAAATAACAAGTCTTCCAGATCCAAGTGTAGAAAAGACAAGTAAAACGAAATTTTGAACTATAAAAACGAAACGAAATAGGATCTGTGTTTTAACCCGATTGAAATATTAGCGATTTAGCTCCTTTAAGTTCGATCAACGTGAAACAAGTAGTACTCTGAAAGTGGGGGTAAAATATTAGTCCTTTAGAGGATAAGGTCTGTCATTGAGTCATTGAGGTGGTTTCGATTCCACGCTTGTACGTGAAAAGGATTGGTTCGCTTGCCTAATCTCGTGGGTCTTCTTTAAGTCTTCCGGTTTCCTCCCACTGTCAAAGGCCCCTACACACAAGCGAATTGATTATATAAAATTGTACGAGATAAAGTACAAGAGGAGGAGGGGGAGAAAGCGAGAGCAGATATCAACTATGTCATAGTCTTTGTCAAGAATTATACTCAACACTCTCTTCTGGAAAATTACAGGCATTGGAACAATGTGTTTTTGAATTCACACTCCCAAGGGAACATTTACGTGCATGCCAAAGTATTTATGCATTGGCTGAGATCCGGACTTGAAAAATCCCGACGGTCCGCCTAGGACGCTGGATCATGGTAGAATCGAAACTTAAATTCAGGGGCGCATTGGGGCCGGGAACCGGCCCGGGCTCCCGTGTCGAAGCGGCCCCTTTTACTGGCCGCGGAGCCCGGACGGGGGGTCCGGGTGCTCTCCCCGGGGAAAATTTTGAAAAATGAACCCCAAATATGTGATTTGGTGGCATATCTGATTATAATCTCTGTCAAATTCAGCCAGCAGACCAGCTATCACCAAATTTTGCTGAGGCCTTAAAATTGAATTTTGTTTGGATATACGAACCATTGGCAGACGTTTCTGGCTTATCCCCACAAACAGGGTGCAGGTGACCAAATAATTAGTAAATTTGCAAGATTCCGAATTTAGGTCCATACCCAGCAACACCTTCCCAGAAAGTCTATTATACCAGCCCATTCCAGACTCTTGTGATGGCGTGGCGGCCCGTTAAAGCCACCGGCCACATACAACATGATCATCATCGCTCCATGGCCGGTCCAATACCTCCGCCCCCCATATAATGTTCAGCAGAAAAAAGTTTTTTTTAGACGAATTCGACAAAATTATTTTTTTCATTTTTTGTCCGACCGGCCCTTCGGGCGATCGCCCGATGGCCCAATCCGCTCCTGCTTAAATTGAATGAACACAGCTATATGGACAATCTGTTTATTTTCAGCAATACAAGTGTTGTTCGAATTGCCAGTAGTATTACGTCATTAGTTATTACGGGTATAGTTGTAGCTATAGTTGTTTGTTGTTGCTGTAGACGCAGACGTAATAGACAAATCGTAACTAACAGACCTAACCCTATGGTATATGCTAGCAGTAAGTTCATTTTGATATTTTATATACGTCACTGGTGTTTGCCAGAAAAGCAATTCGATTGGAATCCAGATCTATAATTCGTTTCGATTTGTTTTTTATTAGTTTTGAGTGACACCTACTTCAAATTAAGCGTCATTTAGGTTGTAGCGCCGCTGTCCGGGCAAAATGTTCCCCCATAGAGCACTGCATGACTTATGCTCGTTTTCATTAGCCTTGTAGGTTTAGAAAGTAGAACGATAAACCCCATTTCGTTTCATGGAGACGTGAAGAAAAGCAAATAGAAATATTGAAGTATAAATACGACCTATATATTAATTATTAATCAGAATGGTCATAATAGGAGTGGGGATGGGAATAGGAATAGGGGTTGGGTGCGGAAGTGTGAGCGTGTGGGAGGGGGAGGGGAGCACGATGGCTCACTGATAAGGTACTGGCTCACTAGCCAGGTGAAAGATGGCCGAGAAACTTTTTTCACCTTATTCTGTTTATATCGAACCACTAATGTTCGGATATTGCATGTTACTATTCAAGATGGCCGAATGGTTAGCACGTGCGCGCTGTATCATAAGGTCTGTCATTGAGTGAACTGGCGTGGTTTCGATTCCCCGTTTGTACGTGACAAGGAGTAGGGTCGCCTGTCCAACCTCGTGGGTTTTCTCCGGGTGCTCCGGTTTCCTCCCACTGTTAGTCCCGAAATGACCTAGTTTGTGTCGAGTGGGCGTTACCCCCCCCCCCCCCGTTATCTCCCTCTGGGGGGTTGGATGAATGAATGTTTAGCATGTGCGCGCTGCATCATAAAATCTGGCATTGAGTCAACCGGCGTGGTTTCGATTCCCCGGTTGTACGTGACAAGGAGTAGGGTCGCCTGTTCAACCTCGTGGGTTTTCTCCTGGTCCTCCGGTTTCCTCCCTTTTTTTATTTTTATAAGATTAGCATCATTTACTTTACAGGTACTGTTCAAACAAGCTCCATGCAGCCGGGTGTGTCTTACCCTGCGCCTTATTATCCACAACAAGCACCGCAGCAACCATATTACCCACAACAACAAGCTGGGTATCCAGGCCCACATCAACCTGCGTATGCTGCACCACCGCCATCATATGAATCAGTGGCCCAACAAGGGGCACAAGACAATAAAGCATACGAGAAAGCATCGGCCCCAGATTTTTAATTTGTCATAATAAAAAAATATACCGTATATATATACATATCTATCTAACGATGCCCACACTGTAAAGTTTTATAACAGACTGTCTACAATTTGTTCCGCTTGAGAACAGACAACGAGCTAGTTGACCGACATTTTAATTTCTACATCGACGATTTCAGTCGAATATACTAAGTTTATTTCGAGAAAAGTAAACAGTTCTCTGTGTACTGAATGAATATTATAATTAGAGCTTCCATTGTTTACCTTAATTTTAAAGAAGACATAATAATATATTTATTATGACAATAGAACTAATGGCGTGGCAGAAATTAGCCATCTTTAACCTAATAAATGTCTAGACACGTAAACTACGGTGAAAAAATGAGACATTGGCCTTAACGTACTTAATATGTTTCAAAACAACTAACAAAATATGGTAAAAGGGCTAAAGGGATCAGCCCTTTAAAATCTGTTTGTGTTCATATTGTATACAGTCCTTACTTATATATTTGATACCTCATTTTGTCTGATTTCCATTCCTTTTTTTTTTCGAACGTAGTCTGTGGGCCTACCTTTTGTTTCCAACGTAAAGATTGTACCTTTTTTTCCAACGTAAAACTATACCTTTTGTTTCCAATGTAAAGTTTGTACATTTTGTTTCCAACGTAAAGAGTGTACCTTTTGCACAGTGTTGGGTTTAACCGTCGAGATCTGGTCGAAGTTATTCCTTTTGGTTGATTTGACAATACTAAAAGACGGCGAATTGTTATAGTCTTATATGACTGTGATTCTGCATTGGTGACAGACAACGAGAATCCCTTATAATCGCATGACGTTAAGAATGGACTGGTTTTAATGGACAAGTTACACCAATAATTGACTTATGGAAAAATTTAACAAGTGACTCGTGGAAATTTCCGCTGATCATTTGATTTGAGCTCCTCCGATCCGCCGGTGTATGAAAAAGAAACGACAGACAATCAAAAATTATTTCCATGGACTGGAGACCATGACTTACTTAGAGTATAACCTGGACAGGATATAATTATATTTTTATAGACTCTACAATTGTTAAATCAAGTGATTTGAAATTTTTTAATATCATCGTTATATTTTGATTTTTGTTCCGTGTGAATAACTTGTATACATTTGTTAACAATTATAAGTTTCATTGTTATTTTGTAATAAAAGGAATTAAACTGAAGTAATGGTTCCAAATTATCCTATATGTACATGTACGTGCTTTTTCACAGATCTATACACGACTGTGTCCCAGTGGTGGCCAACGCCGGATTAACCATGGTGGGGGCCCTGGGGCCTGGAACATGTGGGGAGCCCCTGATCACCGACCGCAGAGCTCCGGCCACCGCGAGCGCCAAAGTCGTGAAGCCCCGCAAGGGGGTCTGGGGGGGGGGGTCTCCCCCCGGGAATGTTTTAGAAATTGGAGGCCGGAAACGTGATTTCCTGGCATTTCAGGCACTTGTGTGGAGTCATTTAGAAGTACCTACCCCTGAAAAAAATAAAATTCTGCCACAAAATTAGCGCATTCTGGAGTTATTTCTGTTGACCAATCAATGCGAGTGCTATGAAATGATGGCATTTCTAGAGGAAGGGGCTGGACGCAACTGAGATTTTTGTGGGGGGGCCCTGGGGCCTGTGCCCCATGGTTAAGCCGGCGTTGGTGGTAGCACAATGTTTAAGGCACTCGCTCACTAACCAAAAGATGTCCGGTTCGATCCCATACTCCAAGCAGTGTTTGACTAGTTCTAACCCCATTAACACTGCTGTAATGGAAGCAAATTTCTGTTCCAAATTATGACTGGTCAAAAGTCCGATTAACAACCAATAACTAACTGCGTACTAATATCATTCGGCTTTAAACAGGGCTCCAAATTGGACCAAATATGTTTACATAACGTTACGTCATGACTCACGAAATTTATAACGCCAACTTAATCAGTGCATAACAGAATATTGCAGAAATTTTAATTGCGTGACAAACGAGGCCACCAAACGTCTATAATGTAAATAATACTGTTTGGTTTGTAGACGAACAATACTTTCACCGATTTTAATACCTTAAATCACTGTCCAAAGTTTTAGGCAAGACCCCAGATTAAACGAAGGTCTGTCAGGTTGCTGTACTTTGGATAGATTTGATTGAACGGGAAGAAAAGACACATTCCCTCAAAAGCTCACGTATCAGAAGCCAATCCAGCAATGGTCAGAGAGGGATTTCTCGGGCCATTGCTTCAGGAATATGGGGGTTCAAGTGTCGACCCCGTTGTTGGATCCTTTAGGAATATGGTTCGATCCCGGTACTGCGTTGTATAGTAACTCAACTCATGGTTGACTTTATGAATACTTTATTCAGCTGGCCAATTCTGTCGTTTGAGGTGTCGTCTCCTGGGGTTTAAAGTCCACTCGACACAAACTAGGTCATTTCGTAACTAACATATGGTTTAATTTGTTTTTTATTTCAATAATTCGCTTGCGCGTAGGGGTCTTTAGCAATGGGAGGAAACCGGAGGACCCGGAGAAAACCCACGATGTTGGACAGGCACCCTACGCCTGTTGACTCAATGACAGGCGTTATGATATCGCGCAGGTGCTTAACCATTCCGCCCTCTCCCCCCCCTCCTTGCGGGAAGAAACCGGAATACTCGGAGTAAACCGGCGCGGTTCGAAGGTACATAATGCTTACACCTGGGATCGAAACAAAGACTGCAAGCCACAGGTGGGTTAGTTAGAGCTCGAATCGCGACAATAGGCAATCCAAACACTTTCCCAAAGTGTTAGTAATAACACAATTTATGTCCTTTGAACATTTAACCTACCGAAAAATCAATCTGATAATTGGATTTAAAATATTTAATGTATTAGCCATTATGTAAACAATAGAGGAAAGATATCAATGATTAACAATTATTGACACATAATAACATGTCAAGTTCTTTGCTTTGTTTTATTTAGCGCCAGTCATTTTAAGATAACATTAAGTGAATATATATAGGAGAGAGAGAGAGGGGGAGAGAGAGAGAGGGTGAGAGAGAGAGAGATGTCATTAAATGGTGTTTAACGTCCTACTGTCCCACTCCGACCGGGCTATTGGAGATGTGGAGAGATAGAGAGAGAGAGAGAGAGAGAGACGTTGGGGGGGGGGGTAACGTCCACTCGACACAAACCAGGTCATTCCGCGTGGGGGTCTTTAGCAGTGGGATGAAAAGGGAGGACCCACGAGGTTGGACAGGCAACCCTACTCTGTCACGTACAACCGGGGAATCGAAACCCACGCCAGTTGACTCAATGGCAGACCTTATGATACAACGTGCACGCGCTAACCATTCGGTCCCTCCCCCACCCACCCAAGTGAATATAGCATAATTCATTCTAAACGAATCTTATTTTCTTATAGTTAACCGATAAAAATCCTCGGATTGTTCCAGAGTGGTCTCCCTTGGCGCAGGAGGCGGGGAAGCGTTGTGTCCGGGCATAGTTTCCCGAATAGTACACTGTATGGCGTATGCCGATCTTAATTATCCCGGTTGGTACAGAGCAGCAGAACGTTAAACCGAACTCCATTTCCTGGATTGCAAGTGAGCACCTTACCCAATGAATAAATGCCCCAAAAACGTGTAAACATATTTCAAACAATTCCGGCGAACGCATCATCCAAGCAGACATGTTTCTGGCTTTTTTCCGCTACGAATTTCATTCAACACGGTATCCAATCTGTTTCACAGAGAATTACTAGTCTTCTAATATCTCTGTAAAAGACGACTGCCTTTAACACGTGCCGTCACAGAACGCGGCGTCAATCATTGGCTGAATGGCGCGTGCATTGTTTACATAAGACGTTACTGCTTTGGGCAGAATGCTGCCTTTTAGTCATTTTAACTCCCATTTACACTAAATAGGAAATAATTTTTACCTACAAATACGTCAAACGTCTTTATTTATTTTTCTAATACATCAAAAAAATGTTTTAGAATTTAATTTGTCGGTGGAAAAAAGTTAATATTTGAGACTCATTAAGTCGCATTGATTTCATCCTTATCAATGATTGTAGCGGCCTAGCGAATATTCACCCCTGATCAGTGTGCACGGTATCACGAATGACTTTACGCAATGTGAAATAAAACATCCAGCTCCCATTTTATGACCTGTTCATCATTCTATTGGGAAATATTTACATAGACATAAATTTTATACCCACATATGTATTTAACCGGTAACGGGGTCACGATCTAGATTGTACAGAGAAATGCGTCATAGGTTATAACCCATCCCAAAATGAATTACTCGGGCGGATCAAAACACATGATTTGAGATACAATCTATTAAAGATACATTGTGGGAGATTCGATAACGAGTTGGCAGTTCTCACTATAATAGTTAAAAACTAGATAATGTAAAGGCAATTTGCTGAAAATTTTATTCAAATTGATCCACTGTGAACCGAGAACTAAGCGGTTGAAATTTCCGCCCAGTCTGAATCTATTTTGCAATAGATCGACGGAGAAAACGGAAAATCGACAGAGTTCAAGTTTCATAAAAATCGGATAAAAATTGTGACATCTAGAGGGTAAACAAACTATAAACTCGATTTTTCGTACCGCCGGGGGTCATAACCTGGGAATTACGGTCCAGTATGTACCAGAATCGAACTTATTCAAGATATTTGAGATATATACTCACATTTCAAGTTTCATTGAAAAATGTGCCCTGTAGAGTGTGCACAAGTATGAACGGAAGTCCGGACGGGCAGTGGCGACGGCATAATGGCTAAATCTATTTGTTAAAGTCAGATCAATTTTCGTCAAGGTCGCCGAGATGTAAATAAGGTTATGGCGTGTGGTAACTGTTGGCGAGATTGTAGGTTAGGGTTACGTTAAGTATTGGGGCTAGGTCCAGGGTTAGGGTTAGGGTTGGGATTAGCAAAAAGATTGTTATGACCAATGTAGTCTGTACAAAATTGCCGGTACTATTTACAACCACTTTTTAAAATGTGAAATTCCCAATCGATAGAAACAGGCAACACTAATCACAAATATAATCCTTGAGCGGCATTTAGTGATTGAGTACATTAAAAAAAACACAACACAATTTATATGGAAAACAATCACTGTTTTAAACACATATAGAATGAGGTTTCGACAAGTATTCTCTTATCGTTATCAAGTACAAATGATCAATAGGCTAACGATAAGATAATACTTGTCGAAACGTCGTGCTATATGTGTATAAACCACAATCTGGTTAAAACACAGATCCAATTTCGTTTCGTTTTTATAGTTCAAAATTTCGATTTTACTTGTCTTTACTACACTAGGGTCTGGAAGCTCTGTTATTTAACTCGTGTTCTGCTTGAAATGAGGGGTCAGCCAATCAAATGGTCTGTCGAATCAGCGTTTGATCTTTTTTGCGCGGAACTGTGGGTAGACATCAGCGGCAATAGAAATCAAAACAAAGCAAAAGTAGATAAAAAAAAATACATGGCGGTCGCTAATTGCTTAGTCGGATGACTGACGTTTTCGGGTCAAATGTCGCTTAAATTGCTTGGTACCTGACGTCACAGAACGCGAACTCCCACTATAACTTGTTAGATCTACATGTAGTTTAGGCCATCGAAAGAATAAAAAACGAAACGAAATACAGATCTATATTTTAATTAGATTGTATAAACCAGTGATTGTATTCCATATAAATTCCATATAATTGCGAGTTTTTTTTCTAATCACAGGTGACTTGATAAGATCAAAGTGAAAATAATGCATTCGATATCCATGGCCAGGATTAGCTGTATATCAGGTTTCATCAATGTGGACGTCTAAAATAACATTGAACACACTATAGAGTTTAACAGAGGAGATGATACGGTTAAATACAAGCCTCGCCCATCTTATCTTGACCCGAGAATAATTTAGAATATAATGATCAAATTATTCGCATATTTTAGATCAAAAAGTGTCATTCACACTCCTGTAAACGTTTGAATTGTTCAAATATTAGCTATAATAGACATTATTTATAATAACCTAACATCAATTATATGCCAAACCGGGTCAGTGTGGTAAACTACTAGACTTTTTAATTGTGTATTTGTGATCGTCGGTTTTTTTGTGTTTTAAGTACATATATACTGAGCGCCATTGAAAACGCATCACTTAGTTTTTCGTATAACCAAATGATCCTGTAAATATATCTTATTTACTTTGCTTCTTATTGTGAACAATATTCAAATCTGAACACATCAATAACAACACATTTGTACACTTATGGATGTTTAATCTTTAATCAAGGGTACAAAGGCAGAGGGGTCAAAACCAAAAGTACGACACAGATGTCAGTAGCTTGTGTGTCCTCCACGGGCCATCATCACGGTAGGCTACAGAAATAACGAGACCCCTGCAAATGTGTAGGGCGGTCCGGTGATGAAATGTGAAGCCTCCCCACACCATTACACTTCCCCCACCCCATCGATTCATTTCGAAGACGCAGCAGTCTGTAAGACGTTCCCTAAGACGTCTCCACACACGTTGACGGCCATCAGCGTGTTAAAGATGAAAACGACTCTCATTACTGAAGAGCACACTTTGCCAGTCTACTCTTCTCCATGTCTGGTGTCCTTGACCCCATATCAAACGCCGCTGACGGTGATGATCCCTGAGGATAGCTTCAACATAAGGTCGTCGTGCACGGAGTCCTACTTCTCTTAGACAACGTCTTACGGTGTTGGCACTTACTGGCCCTTGTCTTCCGACGACTGCTGCACCTGTTCGAGTCGCTGGGCGGAATCTGTCACGCAGATGAGTGACCCGGATGTAGCGGTCTTGAGCCTGGGTTGTAACGCGTTGTGGACCAGGACGTTGACGGTCACGTGTTGATCCAGTAACTCGAACACGTTCCACCAACCTTACAATGATGACAATGGACTGATGACAATTGAAGTGTCTGGCAATAGCACGTGTAGACATGCCAGCCCTGGACATTCCCGTGGCTTCATTCCGTTGATTTTCAGTAAGTCTCGGCATCTCTAGCTCGATTCCTTCACATGTCCAACAACAAATTACGACAGATTGACGTTTCACAGTTCATGTACTGCACATTAAGTTGAAAACATGCTTTTAAAGGGCTCACACACAATGCTGCACGTGAATATTGGGTTTTTCATGTGCATCTCGAGCAATTTTTTTTGTGCACACGGGCCGATATTTTTTGCGTTTGGGAGCATTGTGTGAAACAATAGTTCATAGTATTGCATAATATTATACATACAAAACCACCTAGTAATAAAATATTTGGGAAAAAAAAGTGATGCGTTTTCCATGCGCTCAGTATATTTTAAATATATATATAGATACATAAAATGAAGTGATATTTTTTTAATTTGATATTTAGCGTGATATTTGTGTATATATATATATAACTATTGTAATGATTATTTAGTTTGTAATTCCTCATATTATGTTTGACGCAATATAGCCCGGTTGGAGCTGACATGCCATAAAACCACATTTCATTCAATTTTATACATTTACATGTGGACGTATATTATTGTCGTCGCCCATCCACAATTTGTTTGTGGACACTTTGACAAAACTTGAAATATATATAGGTTTATCCTCAAATGATCGCTTTCCTTTCGATATTGGCAGGTATCGGGTAGTAACTTCATGGATTATGGCCCCTGATTGTAGGAAAAATCCTGTTTTCAGCTTATAATCTGCAGGTGGTCTTATATTTAGACTTTACCATCCTAACAGAGAACATTTTGGTTGGACTGTTATCATTTTATTTGACTTATATGGCAGAGAGAGAGAAATGGGGTTTAACGTCCACTCGACACAAACCACGTCATTTCTGGACTAAAACATGGTACAATTTTAATAATTCGCTTGCAGGTAGTGGTCTTTAGCAGTGGGAGGAAACCGGAGGACCCGAAGAAAACCCACGAGATTGGACAGGTGACCCTACTCCTTGTCACGACAACCGGGGATTCGAAACAAGGCAATTTGACTCAATGACAGGCCTTATGACACAGCGCACACGCACTAAACATTCGGCCATCCACACCCCTCTGAAAGGGTTAACACAAGCCCTGTTCACATCTCATAATCTGCAGGTGGTCTTAACATTTAGGTTAGAGTGTTATCATATTATTTGACTTATATGGCAGCAATCCCCAATTATACAGAACACATTAAAAACACAGCCATAAATAACATTTACTGACCTTTAGACCAGATAAACAAACAGAACAAATAAAAGTTGAATGATTTATTTACAAATGAGATGATATTATGACTATACAATCTATAAACAATGTTTATATAATACTACACAAAATAAAAAGGTTTTTTAACATTTACACCATATTCAGCCAAGGCTGGACTTAAATCTTCCATACTTAGGGTTATCTTTTTATCCTGTAATAAAAAAAATTACAGCTTTACTGACAAGTTAAATGGAAAACGATCAAGGTAAATGGAAAACGATCAAGGTAAATGAAATGGGTTTAATGATTACAGATTTACTGACAAGGTATGGAGAGAGAAATGGGGTTTAATGTCCACTCAACACAAACTAGGTCATTTCAGGACTAACACATGGTTCAGTTTTATTTCAATAGTTTGCTTGCATGTAGGGGTCTTTAGCAGTGGGAGGAAATCAGAGGACCCGGATAAAACCCACGAGGTTGGACAGGCGACCCCACTCCTCGTCACGTACAACCGGAAGATTTAGACAAAGAGCTATCTGTTCTTACTGTAATATTTTAAAAATTGATAATGAAAAGTGAATACATTGAAAATTTCAGTTAAATTACTTTACTCTCGGCAAAATTATGGGGTTTAATAGCCACTCAATGCAAACCAGGTCATTTCGGGACTAACATATGGTTCAATTTTATTTCAACAGTTCGATGCACGTAGGGGTCTTTAGCAGTGGGAGGAAACCTGAGGACCTTCGAGGTTGAACAGACGACCCTAGTCACGTACAACTGGGGAATTGAAACCACACCAGCTGACACAATGACAAGCCTTATGATGCAGCGCTAACCATTCAGCCATCCAAATCCCATTACATAATGTATCTTTAAGAAGAACAACTGCTATTATCTTGTCAGACAGAGCCATGGTGGCTAAGTGAGTAAGACATTGGCTTGCTGACATGCAGCTTACTAATTTAATGCTTACCTTTCCTTGTTTCTTTGAACTTTGACCTGAGGCTTTCATTTTACAATGTTGTAAAGCATCATTAGCTATATCGGAGACAAATTTCTGTGCTGCTAATGATACTAGTCTTATTCTGTAAAATAAAGAGAGAGAAATGGGGTTTAACGTCCATTCAAAACAAAACAGGTCATTTCGGGATTAACATAAGGTTTAATTTTATTTCAATGGTTCATTTCTGCGTAGGGCTCTTTACCAGTTGGAGAAAACCCATGAGGTTGGACAGATGACCCTAGTCCTTGTCACATCCAGGCAGGGAATCGAAACCACGCCACCTGACTCAATAGCAGACGCTAGGATCCAATGTGCATACAATAACCATTCAGCTACCCAACCCCCTCTGCAAAATCGAATTTCAAATATAACTGAAATTGATTTAAAACCATATTTCAGACAATATCTAATTTTTCATAAACTAAATCTGCCTATTGCAGGTCCTTCTTTTGTCCTTAAATGTTATCTAAATTATTAATTAGACATTAATTAACTCATCCAGACCATAATCAACTCTCTAGTTCATCGGTTGGTTGTGATTTTTAATGGATTGCAACACATTCGCCATTTAATAATTAACTTTGTTAATTATCGTAACAATGGTAGCAACTAGCAATGCAAATCGAAACTAGGCTGTTTCTTATCAAAACTACAAACTTTGCTCAGAATAGTGTAATTTAACTCAAATTTTCAAATATATTATTACTACAGTGGTTTTCAACTTTTTTGCCAACGGCACACCTTGGAACATGAAAAAATAGTGGCACACCTGGCTAAATATATATAAAAAATATTTGAATTTTGCAAAATAAAAACATGGCAAGTCATAGATAAGGCATACTAATAAAGAAAAACACAGTTATGAACTTAATTTATTGCAGTGTTTTGAATTTCATCAGTCAAATAGCTGGCTTCTTTAGTCAGAAATTTTTTAAGTGGGCCGTTCAAACTTTCGCAGCACACTTAGGAAGATCTTGCGGCACACCTGGTTGTGAATCACTATATCACTATTTTAGTTACAAATTTAACAAAACTTGGCCCATTCAACGGCCATGTTGATACCATACCAGCGCCTCTACTAATACGTTTCATAATATCATTATACATCTACTTACACTCTTGGGTCGGAAGAATCAAAACCAGATTTATTGAGATAATATGCTGTAACTGAATCTGGCACCTGAAATAATTAAAGATGCATTACATAAATTATATACAGAGAGAGAGGGGGAGGTTTAACACGACACAAACTAGATCATTTTGGGACTAACATATGGTTCAATTTTATTTCAATAATTCACTTGCGCATAGGTGTCTTTAGCAGTGGAAGGAAACCGGAGGACCGGAAGAAAACCCACGAGGTTGGATAGGCACACCAGTTGACACAATAATAACAGACCTTGTGATACAACTTGCACGCACTAACCATTTGGACATCCAATTCAAGAATTCTGTCCGTTTACAGCGTTTTGTATAATAAGGTACGGTACATGTAGTAAGCCTATGCAGTTTTATTTTGAATGTGGTTGGTTAGAATTGGGAGATGTTTGAGGTACGGGTACTGATACCATACTTTTACAGTTTTAGGGTTTATCATAAAATGTTTGCTAATTCTGCGAATCAAGTCTCATGGTCAATGACTATTTGGAATTCCAACTGCCAAGGGTCCTTTAAATTAATTGTAGGTAGGCACTAGGCAATGGCTAGGTAACTTGTACTCGGCACCTCATGTTTTCGTCCCAAATGAATGACTATACTATGTCCATTGCCAGGTCCTCAGTCCTACATCAATGACTAGGGCGGAACCACGCCAGAAATTCCTTATAAACCACAGAACCTCCTGGCCAGTGTTTAGCAAGTCAACTTAGCTCCCTTAAATTGAATGACTCAATCATAATATTATAATATAATTCAAATGTCTGTAGTTTCTTACATTAGTAGTAGACATTATATTACAATATTTGTTATTATTACTTATTGAATTTTGCTATAAATTGAATAATGCTATAATGAAGCTGCTAGCAGGACTCCAATTTCATGTTAGTAAAGATAAGATAAGATTTTATTGAATCGAAACATCCATTGAGGACAGCATACAATATAAACAATATTAATAAATACATGATTTATGGGTATACAGACAACTCATCCCAAAGACAATTCATCCCAAGACAACTCATCCCAATATAAGACAACTCATCCCAAGATAAAAGACAACTCATCCCAACTTTAAAACATGGGTAGATATATAAGACAACTCATACCAACAAATTAAGTGCCAGTTATATTTGTTTTTATACAATTGCTTTCTCTGAAGACCATTCTGATTTTGTTATAAAAATGTGTTATCTCAATAAAATTGATATTGTTGTTATAATAAAATTGATATTGTTGTTTTAAGTTTGGGGCGCTCTGTATACTTATCATAGCGTACACGTTTCAATTCCTTCTTTGAACTATAGTAATAGATGCGACTGAAAATGTTGGCCCCAGTCTTACGATATTTATGATGTTTCCAGAAATTAGAATAGTATTTTTTTGACAAACCGTTGGTGGGAAGTCTTCTAGTTGCAAGACAAGGTCACTGAGTGGTACTCCTGCTGTTTTCACTTCTGATTTATTTGCATTAGTTGTTGATGAATTTGCAAGAGAGGCTGGTATAATTCCTGAAGAAATTTCATCTCCTTTCGACGCCATCTTTACAAATCTTGTAGTCTGGATTGTCCAGATTTAGAATTCAAAAACAAGAGTTATTTCCCTTTTACCAGTAACAAACATGTTTTATGAAATGAAATTGGGTTTAACGTCCTACTGTTTTGCTCCGACTGGGTTAAGAAGACCTGGAAACGCCATATGCAGAATGCTATGAGGGAAATTTTGCCCGAACAGCGGCACTATTGCCTACTCTTATATCGAATTTGAACTGTCGAGGGTTCTATTTTACGTGCACGCACATGTTTACCTCGGTTTTTCGTCCGATCCAAACGACTATGTACATGTACGTTGTCCCTTGCCAGGCCATCCAGTTATCCACCACTTACAAGGGGGAACTACGCTGGATCGAAAACAGAACCTCCAGCTTCCAGCCAACGTTCTATTCACTGAGCCACCATGTTTTAACTAAACGTCATGATCTATGAATGGCCTCACTTACTTACAGATTTGTCCCTTATGTTTTTATCGACCATATCCATCAAACTACAAAGTGTTTAAATTTATTAGTTATGCATCATCAGCTTGTATAGTTATATATGTAATAAAATTCATTAAATTAATGTCAAATTTTGTTTTAACTAATTTTCATTTTTTATTGATTTACAACTCAATTGTCATCTGTTTTTTTCAATCATAAATTGCAAACTTAATTTAGTTTAAGTCTTAATTATTTCTTTGAAATATATTCCGGTTGTGTTTTATTTCTCATATCAAATACAATAGGACGAAAATAATTAACAACAGCTGTTTTTGATGTACCTTATTAATCCGACAAATTTCAATTTGAAATCGACGTTTTATTAAAATACAAAATGAGTTGGATTTGTCAAGCTGTAAAAAAGTATATTCTACATACCAACACATACATGAATTAACTTAATTTTCTCCACGTAATTTTAATTTTAAATTTCTCCATATGAATTTAATTTTAAATTTCTCCATATGAATTTAATTTTAAATTTCTCCATATGAATTTAATTTTAAATTTCTCCATATGAATTTAATTTTAGATCACCATATTCTCATGTAGATCTATATGACTTTAATTAATTTTAAATTGCTCCACTTGAAATTAAATCCTTATTTATTCATGTATACAGTTTAACTAATTTTAAATTTCTCAATTTAAATTTAAAAACATGTTTCTTTCTGTATATGATTTTAAAGTAATTTGGAATTTCTGAATTTAATTTTAAATCCATGTTTCACCTGTACATCTAATTTTAAATCCATGTTTCCTCGTATATATTAATTAAAGTAATTATAAATTTCTCCATTTGAATATATTTTTAAATCTTTATGTCCTCACATACTAAATGCTATGAAATGCTATCAGTAATTAAAATATTTGCTCCTAAATAATAGATATATTTTGATCCAAATTATTACTGGAAATATTTAAAATTTAGAAAGTTTTTTGAAAGTAGAAGTACACAATTGTCAAAAACACAATCTAAATTATTTTGAGGATGCTGCTTTTTCATTAGCCTATGATTGAAAAATTCATTACCTTATTTAATTTTTAGCCAATAAAAAGGATGCATCTGTTAAATAGTTTTCTTGAACTTACCTTGAATAAGGCCTCAGGAAGGGTCCAATTAATTAACGCTTTAGTTTTATTTATTGTTCACAGTTCTCAGTTCTCTACATACACGATCAGTTGTACGTGAAATTACCTCATTTTTCATTCATTAACCCTTGCGTTATATATTCTCCCATCAACACCATTTTTATTTAGCTTTTCGCTTTTAATTTCATGCAAACAACAATATTAATATTTCATTCATGCATACTAATCCAATAAATACCGTAGGCTAGCGATGGCATCAAGAGTTGATTATGGTCTGGATAAGTTAATTAATGCCTAATTAATAATTTAGATAACATTTCAGGCCTAAAGAAAGACCTGCAATAGGCAGATTTAGCACTTTCATTATGTATGTTTAATTGCAGATAGTCAACATTTTTACTAATTTTATATTCGTTTGTGTCTTAAACAGTCACTAAGATAATCGATTCCCAAAATTAAGTTAAATAAACATTCTTATTTGTTAGACAAATCGAAGAGGTCTTGGAATTTGTTGTATCGATGTAAAACTTTTAATTTTCTAGTCGGCTGTTGGCACCAATGAAGAGGAAAAAGATCGATTTCGTGAAGAGCTGAAAGCTGCGCAGGATCAACTGAATGTTCTACGTGAAATACAGAGAAGTGCGATGGAAGCTGAACATTCATCACAGAGTCGACCTGCTAGCATGGTGTCAGTTGCATCATCTGTATCTGAACAGGGGGAGACAACTGAAGGAGAAGAAGAAGGTCAGTAATTCTTGAGTACTTGTTTTGGCATCTGCTGGTCTGTAATTCAACAATGGGGGTCTCACTGGTAAGCTGAAACCGTTGATTTATGAACCTGGGCTTTTTAGTAATGACAATGTTTGTCATTAAATCATATAAGTGATCGTTATTGTAAACTAATGTTTAGTATGTATAGAAAGTGGTTAGAAATAATACAGTTGTCATTTATTAGCAAGTGTGTAACTAGCTGTAAAAAGATGTCACTACTGGTGTAAAAGTGTGACTATTTATAACACCCATCACTATTGAATACACAAACCTGGACAATAGTGGTGTATATCATTCAATAGTCACAGTTTTAACATTTTAGTGACAGAACACCTACTTAATGACTACTGCCTAATAACTAACAATTTTAACTAACTAATACACATTATGTATATAAAATAACATCTTTGATCTACTAGTGTCGTATATATTCATTTATAAAAGCTGTTTGATGCTTACGGTAGTCAAAGCCCAATTGGGCTGTCTCCACATTATCCCAGAGGGAATGAGAGAGACGGTAAAAATCGTTGTGGTGGGGGGAGGGGGTGCAAGTGAATGCAAGTTCTTTCCATTACCATTTTGATCAGTAAGACTCAAAAGTTTTATTAAATTTTTGTATATTTTTAGATACAGCCCAGGAATCAGATCATAAAATGGTTGTTATGGAAACTGCTACCCAGATGAACTCTGAACCCCAAGTTCTCGACCTTGAATTACACCTGCTAGAATGTGCCACTGAAACAAATGAACAAGACCCACAGTTTCAGGAAATGATCAGAGAAGCAGAGAACATAGCAATCGGGGAAGATAACTCTATGAGTAACTAGAACTGCGATGCAGTTATGACGGGTTTCACCGGTGCCCCGTTACCCTTGAACATATGTCACTTCCGGTACCGATGAAACGTTAAACAGGTTTCCATATAAGCATTGCACACATCAAATAAAATGTACACAGAATCAACCAAATCCAGCAATATCAATTCATTGTATACATTTGTTACATGTAAGTGATCCTGAGAAACTTACATTACTTCCGGTGATAATGAAAATGTTAAATTAGTTTTATGAAATCAGAAATAGCATAAGGC